TAGGACATTATTTTCTACCTTAAAAATGTATTTCAAATAACGTCCGCACGCGCGGACTGTGCGACCCCATATGGGGACATTCATACCACTGACTAAACTTGTGCGACCCCGTATGGGGTCTTTAGTCGTTTAAAGGTTAACTATACTCTCCAACGCCCACCCCCACCCTACCCCCCACACCCACCTCTTCATCCCAACAACTCACTCAATACAATAACACAGTACCAGACACACAACAGCCCCAACAGAGTCCAAAAGACCACCTACACGAGAACATGGGAATTTTCCCTTTACCATATGATTTGAGTACAAATTTAAGGAAATTACATAACACACATATAATCACACATACCAACATGTAACTACATTATCATTACAGAACATCTCAATGATAGTCCCACTACACCCAACTTGCAACCCAATTAAACGGGAGATAACGCACGTGAACATACAAGAGTTCATAACATCATTCCCACCTAGGAACCAACCAGACCAGAGCAACCAGTACACCAGCGAAACAACTAATAGCTATGTAAGTTTTGAGGTTTTCACGGCGATGACAATGAAGAAAGTTGTCTTCTGGGTTTAGGCACCGTGTATTCTTCGTTTTGGCCGATGTTTCGGAGGAACGTAGCGCCTCCATCTTCAGAGCAGTTGAATAGCTGCGGAGAGCAGTAGCTATATACATATATTTTGACCTTAATTTAACCTTTATCTAGATATACAGTAATTTAACTAATTATATCTAATACCAAAATAAATGGACTAAAAAGTTGATAATACCAAGAGTTTTGTTACCATTACATGCCATGTAGTTCTATTCAAACTACGGATCCATATTAGAAAACAAGTTCAACACCTAAGCACAATCCATACAACTGATGTTTGCCCAACATGGGTTGAAACATGTCATGTTTTAAGGTGTTAAGATTTAGTGTAAATAATCTATATTTGTATATTTTTATAAGAAACTGTTGTGTTCACAGATGTAAAAATACTCAATGAATTACTATGTAATTTACAGTTATTAATCTGATGCCTCTTCTGAGTGAATAACCCAGAATATATTAATAAAAAGATGTACTGAGCAACACTAATGAGGTCATTCCATGTTTTTATAAGAAATTTTTGTGTTGACAGATGTAAAAATACTCAGTGAATTATTATGTAATTTACAATTATTAATTTGATGCCTCTTCTGAGTAAATAACCCAGAATGTATTACTAAAAAGATGTACTGAGCAACAGTTATGGGGTCATTCCATGTGTAGTAATCCAGATAGGTTGCTCGACCATTTAAAAAAAATTATATTTTGTACACTTATTTCTACATATTTTCATAATTCAAAAATATTAAAAAAAATTTTAATCCGCTCAGTTATCTCGGTACATCCGTTTTCATACTGCGAGAAAAAACTTTTTCAGCTGAAATGGAGGTTTGTGTTATCTTCTATATCTCGATAACTATTGAAGCTAGAGACTCCAATAAAAAACCAATTTGTTCCTCATGATATGGACTACAAATCATGACATTACAAGTTTTTACTCAACTCACTTCCTCTGGGTCTAATTAAGCTTGAAACTTACTTATCGATTTTGGGGGAAAAAAGCTATGTTTGACCTCTAAAAGCCAATGGGAGGGGGAAAGTACCAGATCAGTGGTTTCTACCCTTTGTTGTTGCCTACATTGGGAATATAATCATGTAGTTTTGAACCCCATATCTATTTTTCATAATTTTCCAGGAGCTTCCAAACTTTGCTGTGCCCAAAATCTGCAATTTTTAACATCTCCTATCTCCGGTGGGGAAGCTCCAAAAATTTTGAAAATCATAGCAAATAATGCTCTATTTTAATCATTTTCATGCCTGTACTTAATGCTCGGAATGACAAAAGATAAATCTCTCGTCTTTTTTACCGACTAAAGAACTGCTAATTCCACTGGATACAGGTAAGCAAATTGTTGAGGTGTTGATTTTTGTTGGTAAAATTCGTAGTGCCCACAACTTTGCTATTAGTTGAATATAAAAGTTGTAGTTTTATCTCCAAGTTACCCTAGAATAGAGCATTATTTGCTATGAACTTCAAAATTTTTGGAGCTTCCCCACTGGAGATATGAGATGTTAAAAATTGCAGATTTGGGGCCCCGAGCAAAAGTAGCTCCTGCAAAATAGGTATGGGGTTCAAAACTACGTGACTATATTTCTCATGCAGGCAACAACAAATGGTAGAAACCACAGATCTGATATTTTCCTCCTACCACTGGTTTTTGAAAGTCAAAAATTGTGTTTTTCCAAAATCGATAGGTAAGTTTCGAGCTTAATTAGACCTAGAGGAAATGAGTTGAGTAAAAACTTGTAATGATATGAATTGTAGTCCATATCATGAGAAACAAATTGGTTTTTTATTGGAGTCTCTAATATCAATAGTTATCGAGATATAGAAGACAGCACAAACCTCCGTTTCAGCCGAAAACGCATTTTTCCGCATTATACAAACGGCTGTACTGAGAGAACCGACCAGATTCAATTTTTTAAAAATATTTTTGAAGTATGAAAATATGTAGAAATGAGTGTACAAAATATATATATATATATTTTTTTTTAAATGGTCGAGCGACCTACCTGGATGACTTCATATGGAATGACCCTATAGGAAACTATAATCAGTAATCAAGGGTTCTAAAAGTCTTGCGGTCTACTGTACTTGTTTTTTGTGAAGATGAAACATCTTATAACTAGGGCTGTGAGAACCTCAAATTCTACACAAACAGATATCACAGGGCCTTCAAGTCTTGAATATACTGTATTTCATTCATAATTCAGTATTGGTTTTTCCACACATTTCTCTTACCTCCCTTCTGATGATGGTAAATCTTTGGAAGTCAAAAATACCAAGCTTCCATCGTTGTTCAGACCCTATGCTTAGGTATAGGTCTACAAATCTCCTCATATAAAAGAGCTAAGCAAGTTTTTTTTATTGTTTTATTGGCCTCAATAAGTACAGAGGGCAAAAAATCAATTAGACCCTATTTAAATAAAATACACTGAAGTCAATTATGGTTAAACATGGGTTTATGTCAGCCTTCAGAGACAAATGAGCTTTAAAACGATACTGACAATGTGGAAAATATGACAAACTTTTAATGTCAAACTTGCTCCTCTACTATTAACAGGAGCATAAGAATTTATTTCCAAGCCAACAGAATTTTGCCAGCTCATTTTTATAAGACACTGGTTTAAAGCTGTGAAATAAAAAATAATTTCTCATAAGAAAACATGATTCAGCTGTGGTCGTCTCTGGAAGCCGTGACAAAAAGATACATGAAAATATATAACACTCATGCTCATACGATTCATTCATTTCCGGTTGCACATAATGTGTAGGCTTTCTAGTCTTCCACTGAAAACATGGACTACTATCACTTTGGTATTATATAAATAGTCTTCAGAGCTGATCAGACAACTGATACATGTTCAAGTAAACATGACAGTGATAAGATATTTAGATGGCATATACATGCAGCTACAGATTTCCTTTTAAAAAAAATTATATATCCATAAGCTTACAATTCTACAGTTAACAAGTATATTACCTTATACTGATACTGTTCTAGGTTATTAATCTGTCAACTAATAAAAACATTCTTTTCCTTTCTGCAAAATAATCAGACCTAATCAAAGTACTGTTTGTACAATTAATTGTAATATTCTTAACTTCGTACTGAATTTTCTGTGCATTCAAAAGCCATTTGTATAATAACTGCTTAAGTATTCACTGTGTGCTGTGCCGGCAAATTCATTTCTTTATATGGGGATTCACCATCTCTGCATAACACAGTAATATGTTTTCTTGAAATAACAGAATACACACCCTCTTACCACTAATGGTGATTATTAAATATGGTATGAAAATACAGTTACAATCATGTATGTAAGTATAAGTTGGATTAAAAATGTAGGCAAACCATTCACATATACAAGCAGTTTTCAGAGACAAATAGCTTAGCAACAAGCACCATTACAATAAGCTATATATTACATCCTTCCTCTTTCAATCATTGATTCTTAGGCCATGATCAGTACCAACCAGAAACATGAATTCTGTCAGATGCAACCGTATAATCAAACTGTATTAATGTCATACCTGTCAGACCTGTTTTATATACTACTACAATTCTAATACAAATAATCATGAAGCTTGCCTTTCACTCAGTTCACATGCTTACTATTCCTCTCTGAATACAGCTCAGTTTTGTTACTAAATATGAGTAATTTTGCTACTTTTAAAACATTATCAATCAAATATATCACTTTACAAAAATCTAATATGCTTAGCCAACTTCAATAATATATAGAACATCCTGACTTTTAACAACTGTTTGATTACTAGGAGTTACAGGGATATTGCATTACTAACTGAATTATTTCTGTAGGTGAACCTAGAGATCTTACTGTATAATGCATTAAACATGTTCCCTCATCAGGAAGGATTACACCATTAATAAGTATAGGTATGAGACCATCACAGAAAAATATGTTCATTATAAAAATTTATAATGAATGAAGTTATAACTTTGAGAATTCTGCTGAATATGTTGCATTACTCACTTGCTAACCACCAATCTAAAAATTGGCCGATTACAATTTCAACTGCATCCAATTATGGCCAGTATAGTGATTTATAACTAGTGTACACATTTTGATATTCAAATCACACAAACAGGATTTATTTTCAGAGGAGGGGCCATACACATTTTCTGACATGCTTTAAACCATCCAGTCCATACTGGTACAGCGTTCTTCCTAGCACTGAATTGAGGACAAGTTTATATAAGTAGTGGACTTCCTTCATCAATCAATGTATTCTGCAGTCAAAGAGAAATTCTCAGTTGCTTATTATTGTGACATTCAATCTCTTCACTCAGTACTGACTGTATAACAACATTCATGCAGTAAACTCCCAGTTATCTGGTATCCAAGCACCTGGAACTCTCATTCAACTAGAAAAATTTTCAAAGAAAACTTACCATGTTTATGAAGTTTTTCAGAAACAAATTTGCAATGCTCTTATGTTCATCTGTCATGCTGCAGTTCTACCTGTCATCCTTCCACTCAAAGATGCCATTACAATAGAAGCTACATGAATTTTTGATCATGTTGCAGTATGTGTCTAAAATCTTTCATCCTTCAACCCACAGTAACACCTAGGACGACTCTCATGCAAGAACTAAAGTGAAAACGTAATGTTTTCACTTCTTATTGTTTTTTTTTTGCAGCCTTTTCTGCACCCTGTAGATTCATATAACTGACCAACTCCATTCCCCATATATGCAAGATAATGAGGAGCTTACTGTATATAGAAGAGCAGAATCATGACACAAATAGTCTATACATTCCTTCCTTACTGTATGTCATATAAAATACATCACAATCCCCTAACAGTAATACAACTACTTAGAAAATCGTCATTTACCAATGTTAACAATACAGCAATACAGGGTTTCTACTAAAATATAGTGTATATGCAACATAGCTTTCATTATCTTTGCATTAGCTATAAAATCTACAAACAATAAATAACAAAGGCATGTGTGGTATTGGAAAGAAATTTTAAAGTCACAGCACATCACCATGCCTACATACATTACTGGCATGCTAGTTATTATAGACCCGAGACTTCTTCTGCCCAGTATTCTGCCCAGAATAGGACCCATTCTGGGATCAGCGCCTGAAGACTTGAGTATGATTCTGATAGCTATACAATTACAATTACACAAATTACATTACTGAATATTTGTTCTGAATGAAATTCTTACTCTATTCACACAACACAATACGAGTACATAACACATAATCTCTTGCTCTGTATCACATTTTTGAGTTTAAAATTGAAGATGGTATCTACATAAGCAGAAACCCTGAATTACTTGTAATGGTAACAGGAAGAAAATTGTAAAACACAGCTTAAACTTGTTAAACCAAGTTTAATAATTCTATGCACATTGCAAGAGAAAATTTTATATAACTGAATCCGAACAAACTGCCACACTACTTTTTCAATATATACAAAAAAAATATAATATACACACACATATGTTGGCATATATAAGTTACCAAAATTCATCTTGCCATTAACGATTTCATGGTCCAGTAGCTTCCTATCAAATACAACAGAGTATGGTACATGAAACAACAATCTCCCCTACTTTGTACAAGTTAGTTTATCAGCAGACAAAGAGTTATTAAGGTTGAAACATGAAACTTCTTGGAGTTTCCCTTACAATGAAGTTCTTGAAGAGAGAATAAATAACGAACAATATAAATAAAATACTTTTGCCAACAACCTGCACATTTTTCATCCACAGTAACAATAAGTCTACAAGAGGTAAATTACTATGCTGTAACACATAAGTACATACTTGAAAAGTCACTTTCTCAAGCATTTTGTGCTGAATAGGAAGTTTAATACCCTAGTGAAGGAGACACTGAACACTTTACTTACCTTATAATTTGCATACTGATGTTTACACATACAAAACTGAAGGTTAATTTGGTATTACACAAATAAAAATTAGTTGAAATTTTTCCATAATACCATAAACATTTCTAAACTATGTAAAGTTAATAAATATTTGAATGCAAACAATAAAGGGCTAATGCCACAACTCATAACACCATCTTTGCAGCAGACAGTTCACTGTGTGTGTGTATTCCATGTCCCTATCGCCATTGTTTTGACTTCCAAGCAGTCTGGTCCAGTCAGATGGTATCCAGGCTGTCCCCCACCCTGGCTGCTTGTTTATTTCATCTATGACTTGTAGATTCTATGGACACGTTGGTTGGCATCCCTTATCCGCTGTTCATTTGACATTTCCTATGCAGCATATACACAAGATCAGACATATATATTTCATATGAAAAATCTCAATAAGAGGAATACAAAAGCAAGCAATACGAGTGGACTTAGTACAGACAAATTTACCAACATAAAACAATTAACATGAACCTAAATCAAAGCCACTTCCAGTAATAACACTCAACAGATCAGAAAATATACATATAATATACCTTGTTTTTCTACTGCCGGTCAGAATCACTGGTGCTAATTCTAATAGCATGAGATTCTCATCAAGTGGTAATAGCATTCATTCAAATCCCATATCTTCATATTTCTACTACAAATGACTCTTAATCAGAAAGGGATGTCAGAAGCCACTTCCCTAACATTTGTTACAATACGTTTTTCTTCACGCTGAATTTTCAGCACAATTGTATTATGTTTAAAGGAACTTAAATATATCCACTATTAACTAGACAACTGAGGAAGTGGCCTTGTTTAGGCGTTTGAGAAAGCAACGAACAATGGTGCTATGCATGACAACTTCACATGTTCTATTTTACAAATACTGGTAATAAAGTTAATAATAAGCACTTCTGTCACATCACTGCATGGAACCCTCTGCCCACTCTCCCGCCCAACACGTTTACTGATTACTTCAACAGGTCGTGGGCTCGCTGGTTGGCAACTGCTATCCTTGTCTCGTTCGACTCCCCCTGCACGGCAAACCACACAACAAACACAAAGCATCAATTTCTACACCATCATACATTAACAAAAAACTGAACAAAAATACTGCTACAAAACAAGGTGACACAACACAATGTACGTGTAATTTGACAAGAAGTAAAGCAATGGGTGATCACATGGGTAATGTGCTTTGGTACATTAAAGTGCTTAATACTAACAGCTTTCCCTTAACTTGAAATCTCGCCTGCAGTAAAGAATGATTAGGGATTATAGATACCTGCAACTGAATATGCTGCGAGAAAGGTTAAACAAGAAAAGCTGCATATTAGGATTACAGCTTTCTGGCATATGGCGACATGTAATTTGGCAGAAAATTACACAGAATCATATCCTAGAAGAACATAATCCCACACAAACCTGTGTGTACATGCACTAGAGGTGATGAATGAAACTACTACATGATAAGTTGGAATAAATACTCTAGGTGAAAGTTATATCTGTTTTCTTGAAAAGAAATGTCAATATGAGATAAACATATAGAACAGAATATAAATGAAGCAAATTTGTTAGAATTATTTTTACTTCCAATTCTACTTATCCAGTCTACATGATCTTCACAGCAATCTTAATGCTTCTTTCAGCTGTACCTAGACTACATATTCCTCATTTATGAATAATTAAAAACTGCTAGCGTAGACATGGAAAATTGGAAAAGATTGTAGTTTCAGTTAATTTACTAGTACAGATGTGTGAGTTTCAATGTGACATCTATTGATGCAGATTTGTGTTATGGATGAACAACAATCAGCTTCCTTACAGAGATAGAAAAGAAAGGAGATGGTGACTATATAAGCATTGGGGAGACCAAGGAATAAGATGAGATGCTAAGTGAAGGAACAAATACAAAGAGAATAAGGAAAGGGTATACACAGAGACGAGAGAAGTGTTTATGGGCGGATAAAAATGGTGCACATTTGTCATAAGATACGCCATGATGGCAATGTCACTGATGAAAATGACTACACACATGCTTTACAAATGCATTCCATGCTATTTCTACATATTTCATTGACCTCGATGTTCATCTAATGTACACACAAATCTTTTGTTGCAAAACACTATCAGTTTCATCCTGTGTAGTGTCAAAAATTATTTTTCATTATATTTTGTTAAATAGTCACCATACCAAAAAGAAGTTTCAAATGAGAACTGTACATCATAACAACATCTATATTTAATATCTTAATCACCATCATAAATTTGGCACAGTTCAGATATTTGGGAATGACTATAACAGATCAAAACCTGATTCAGGAGGAAATTAAGAGGAGACTGAATTCGGGTAATGCTTGCTACCATTCAGTCTAGAACCTTTTGTCTTCTCATCTGTTGTCTAAAGACACAAATATTGCCTGTGGTTCTGTATGGGTGTGAAACTTAATCTCTGAAATAATGGGAGGAACAAAGACTGAGGGTATTTGAGAACAAGGTGCTGAGGAGAATATTTGGCCCAAGTGACGGGAGGTTGCAGAAAACTGCATAATGAGGAGCTTCATAACTTGTACCCGTCAAGTACAATTAGAATGATCAAGTGATGAGGGATGAGATTGGCAGAGCACGTAGCATGAATGGAGGATAAGAGGAATGCATATAGGATATTAGTGGGAAAGCCAGAAGGAAAGAGACCATTATGAAGACCAAGACATAGGTGGGTGAAAAATATTAAAATGGCTCTTAGATAGTATGGGATGGTATAAATTGGATTGATCCAGCTCAGGATAAGGGCCAGTGGAGGGCTCTTGTGAACACGGAAATGAACTTTTGGGTTCCATAAAGTGGTGGGAAGTTTTTGAGTTGCTGCACAATTGGTGGCTTCTCAAGAAGGGCTCAGCTCCACGAGTTAGTGATTATCATCATAAATTAAGCTTTTGTTCTGTTCCAATTACAAGGAATATAATGCCCCATCTTGTATGACATCCCTGGGATATTTTATTCTTTGGTTGATACTGACACAGTGGCCTCAAGTGGTATGTACCAAAATTAAATTCATCTAACAAGTTATAAACATGTCTTAATTAATCTACCTTTCTGGCTATATGAAACTCAAAGAATGTTATACAATACATCTTGCCTCAGTTAGGGTTCTTGAAGACTATACAGAGTGTCCCAGGAGTCTGGTGCCATACTTCAGGAGCGTACTGAGGGTTCCCTATAGAATAACCTTGGAATAGGAACCCATGTCCGCAAATTTAAAATTGCAGCGCTAGGGCGGCATTTAAAATCATTTTGTTTAAACTTGGCACCTCAATGTCGAACTACATTGCATAGAGGAACAGCCATCCACCAGCACTCGTGCAATTGCCTAGAATGTGGGGACATCAAAATCAAGTGTTTGGAGGATCCTGCACGACCAACAGCTTTATCCGTATCATCCAACGTGAGTACATGATGTAGGTCCAGCTGACTTCATAACACGAGTTCAATTTTTTCAGTTGATACTGAACCAGTGTTTACGTCAGTCCAACTTCCTGAATCACGTGTTATTCACAGAAGAAGCGCAGTTTACAAGGGATGACTGGTTCAATTGTCGAAGCAGCCACGTTTGGGCTGACAAAAACCCCAACGTTACTGTAGTTGGTTACCACCAGGAGCAATTTTCTGTCAATGTCTGGGCAGGCATCATTGGAGATCACTTGATTGGGCCTTTCCTCCCACCACCACGACTCAATAGGCCCTTTTACAGGGTGTTCCTGGAACATATCCTTCCAACTTTGCTAGAAGACATGCCACTGATTGTGCGAAGGCAAATGTTGATACAGCATGATGGAGCACTGGCACACTTCAGCATTGTATCACAAGACTACCAGGATGCTGCTTTTCATGATCGTTGGATAGGAACAGGAGGCCCAGTGCCTTGACCACCCCGATACCCAGAATTGACAACTCTGGACTATTTCGTCTGGGGCCATGTGACACGCCTGTGGATAATGAATTAGAGCTGTGGCCAGAATACTTGCTGCATGTGACGTGATTCGTGAGACACCTGGAATATTTGAAAGGGGCACCAAAGTTTCTTTCATCGATGTAACGCATGCATTGAAAATGGAGGGCGCCAATTCCAGCATCTACTCTAGCAGGTGTATCTTAAGAGTTTGGAGGGGGTAATATGCCTGTGCATGCTCTTTGACATTGAGGCGCCAAAATGATATTAAATGCCGCCCTAGCGTTGCTATTTTACGTTTGCGGACATGGGTTCCGATTTCAAAGTTGTTCTATGGGGAACCCTCAGTACACTCCTGAAGTATGGCACCAAACACTTGGGACACCTGTATATGGTCCCTGGTATCAGAATCCATACCGTGTTGGATTGGGGGTTCTAAGAGAAGTGACTATGAAGAGGATGATTTTCTGGGTTGTAATGCCATGTAGTTTGTAGTAGTCGAGTGACATTTTGGAGAAACAACAGTGGACTTGTACCAAATTACGTGGTGTTACAATCCACTCACAATAATGCCGTAATGATATGGGGTTGATGTGGCCAGAAGAAAGTTTTTATATGGCGTTCATAAAAGTACACTTTCTTGAGAAGCTGTAATCAGTTTTACCCATCTAAAATGACCCTCAAATAGTATCATTATTAAAGGTTAATTCATGAAACAAAAATTCTAACTGCAGCTGAAATTTACTGCTTACCATATATTTTTTGAAGAAATACATGAAATACAACATCTTATGGAGGGTCAACAATCATGAGGTATGTTTACCTGATTATGTATTTCTGTAGTGTCATAATTTGTAACTAGTTAATGAAATGACTAATTTAGGTATGCTAATCACAAAAGGCAAAACGGGGAGGGGGATACTTTTTAAGTCTGGTTTATAACTTTGACAAAAAACAAGAGTTTCAAGTAATACAGTATTCTGCTAAATCAGTTTAAAAACCAGATTAATATGCTATGGGTACACCACACATATATCTATGTCCACAGGCTACTGGCACTAAAATAAATTTGTTGGCTATTTTCAGAAATACATTCAACTCATAAATTTAAACATGAAAACAATTAACATACAAGTAATTACACAATAAGTGCAAAATTATATTTCAAAGCAACGTATGCTTACACATAAAGTTCAAACTGATTACATAAAGAGGCAGGAAAAAAGGCTGTCCATTTCTGATGATTCTCCAGGGAAGAAATAAGAGTATGTTACATTTATCACATTGGATACAGACAGACACACAGAGAAAACACATGGCACACGATATTACCCAATTACACTAAACAACATATTTTCATATATTAGGGAATTGCTACCACAGAGGTGCAGAAATATATCTTATATAAAACATAAAATACTACTGAAAATATCAGTACCAACGAATGGTCATTGAAGACCCCGAGGAAACCCTGTAAACTAATGGTTTAGTGATTTCATAATATACTGAACAAAACCTAAACACAGAGAAAATTAGACTTCCTACATTAAACCCCAAATTAATCCTGGACAGCAATGTGTGAACACAATATTGCATTTTCAGTAAATATGTAATGTCAACACTTTTATCCTCACAATACAGTAGAATGCAGTAAAATCAAAAGAGCTCTGTCCCCTTCTGAAGTATAAGATGTAGCAAAATATAAATACCTGGAAAAAACTATGCATCTCCTATGACATGTGATTAAGGCACAAGAAAATGACTGGTAAAATCAAAAGAACAAAATCAGTGCTCAGGAAACACTGAACTTTACTTTTCTGAAACCTTGGAAAAAAGGAACAACAACAATTCTGCAGTTATCTGCACTCTGTACCAACTATACCACAACAAGGACACATGAGCATGACAAGGATACAGCTGTGTACCTTGCGGTTGATTCTGTCGATCTGCCGGTTCTGGTTCTCCAATTCTGAACCCATGTCAATTGCCATGTTGCGCAGGTTGCCTATCATCGTGTTCACCTGTCCCATGTTCTCTTCCATCTCATCTTCACGAGCATCATTTGTGATCCTAGATTTGAATATTGTAGACAATGGGTCAAATAGAAACTTTCTTGGGCATTTTCTGCTGTCTGAAATATATCAAATTTCCTCCTCACATTCTTAAGACAATATTTATGTGACAGTAAACATGACAGTCGGAGAAAAGTAGCAACGTACAAGACTTAACGAACTTGAAGAGGCAAGGGAGACCTTGAACTGGATTTGCAGATGCAATGCATAATAACAGGATCCATTAAACACTCATTTTCAGACAAAGGAAAATGCCAACAAAGTCATTAGTCATGTGTGATCCTGTAATTACAGAAACTGCAGTTCAGATCACATATGCACATATAATTCTTTTTTAGAATGATAAGGATCTTGATGTGTTTGCTGACTGTACAGAATCTTGAGCAACGTCACATATATGTTTCTAGCTATCATCCAATATTCTGTACAACCATATAAACTGTTCCAGCCGAGGAGACCACAGTGTAATAGATCAACCTCCTGTATTTACTAGACCAAAGATATAAATATTATGTCAAACTCTGAAGAACTTAACTTGTAGCAGAATCCCTTTTGTAAGAGGAAAGCCATTTTCCCCTGCTCGGCATAACACATAACATTCTGTATGTGACAGCCCATACAATTTTTTAAATGTAAGACTTGTCTTATTAGATATCCTGGCTAAACTGTAACTATGATCAACAAATTTGGATTAAACAAATGTAATTTTTATTTTTTGCAGAAGATAAGTTCCTTTACAAGGTTCTGAGAGACCAGATAGTACAACAGTGTAAGACATTTAACAAAACTGTTAAATTTACATTAGACAAAAGTATCTTACACTGAAGTGAGTAAGGTGTCATGTAGTTCATGCCATAATATTTACTGTTATGGAAAGAAATCCTTACAATAATTTTTTAAAACATATGAGACTGGTCTTAGACTGGAAAACCCACAACATGGTCACTACTCTGCTTTGTAACGACCTCAAATTTACTTTAAATTAAGCTTTCTGAGTTCTGTTATTCTGTCAGTCTCATTACTTAAACAAACAACATATGAACTCAGTGTAGAGGAACCCTGTCATCAACAAGGTATTGGCTGGATACAAAAACACATACAACAAATCTGTAATGTAAGTAGAACGGGGTATAAATAAAATCCTTGCCTGTAATAAATTTAGCACAACAAAAAGCTGATGAGTGTCCATGTCTAAAATCTGAATGGATCTAAGAATTACTGATCCAGTGAAAGTTGCATCACTGCAATGTTCTTCAGTGGCAACCTGAAGATGTTTGAACAAATTAAGTTCTCTTATTGACAATGTAAAGCATTTAGAAAAGTGTGTTAAAATTAGGATTTCTCAGAAAGGTATGTCAACAAGAATTTTACTGCACTTTTCCAGGACACATGAAGTTGATCTAGTGGGTGTTAGCCTCCTCTATTGAGTCTGGGTGGGTCTTTGTCTTTACAAACATGGTAAATCACTCTGATGTGACAGATACAACATAACAGAACTGATGCATCCAGGGAATTAGAAACAACATGATGGAAGGCGTCACTTGTTAGCCACGCCATTCACCCAAACATTCTTACCCACCTCTGTGTGAACAGAGTAGAAAATACTGATTCACTCAAAAGATTCAANTTATGTTCTTATTTAAAAATGTTACTGCATTACAGTCTTCTTTGGTTCAAACCATTTTCAGCAAGACAATACTAAAGATTCCCTTAAATTCACTAAAATTAAAACAAATTAAAGAAAATTGTATATTCTTCTCTTTCCATAACTTGCAAATGAAACAGAACTCTAAACTATATTTTTTATTTCTGAGAAATGTATGAAATGGACAGTATGGGTAAGGAGAAATAAGTATTAGAGATGCGTATATAATGTCAGAAGTATCATATTACATAATTTTCATAGTGTTACATCATTTTTATGAAATATTCATACTAGTTACAGATCTTCTTCTCATTACTGTTTTGCCATTGTTTTGACAATATCAGTCTGAATTTAATTAGAAATGTACATGACAGCCAACATAAGCAGTTACTTGAGCGCACCTTCTTAGTAAGTCCCTTCCTGAGATGGTATGAACAAAAGTTGGACTGCACTATAAATCTGACATTTTCTGGAAGCGGAGCTATATAGAGACAATTCTTTCACTGAAAATTCAAACATGTATTTACTTTATCCTTCTGGTACTAGTGTTTCATCTCTCTTTACTTCCTAACACTGCAAAATATGTATTTTAGACAGAATGCACTCAAACTCAGACCCATGCACTGCATATATTTGAAGCCAGATATCGTATTGTGCTTTACTAAGTGACCAGTTCTGCACTACCCTGAAGGCCGCTGATACAGCTTCCAATAGCCAGAAGCAGTGATAATTTAGTAATACTCGTTGTATAAGCTTCATAAATTAAAAATTCCACCACAGCCTGAATTGCTCATATGCAAAGAACAAACTGTACAAATTTGTAGAAAAGATTAAATACATATTCCACATGATTTAAAATGTCCAAAACAAATGTTGNATGTGCAGTTGAGGTCAGATATAACTTTGTTTTGGACCCATTATATGTATACAGTGGCCGTCTTGTAGTGCACTCAATTTCACCTGTTACTTCACGACATGTTTCGGCAACATAGTGCCATCATCAGGTGCCCTAATTACGTTAATCTATCGCATTGCTTGCCCTCATATGTCTTCACAACACCATTTAAAAAGTATTTAAAAAGTGCGTATTTGTAAACTATAATAAATTTACACACACTAAAACTTGTTAAGATTATTCATCTTATGTGTCTTAATTAAAACTTGCATGTGGTTCTTCCACTATGGGGGTCGTTTTTCTTATTTTCTGTGTAAACCGTGTCTTGTGATGTGTGTTCCCTTCTTAGCTGTGAGTGTGAAGACATATGAGGGCAAGCAATGCGATAGATTAACGTACTTAGGGCACCTGATGATGGCACTATGTTGCCGAAACATGTCGTGAAGTAACAGGTGAAATTGAGTGCACTACAAGACGGCCACTGTATACATATAATGGGTCCAAAACAAAGTTATATCTGACCTCAACTGCACATCAGGCCTTCCATGCTGATTCCAATAAATACCAAAAGCTGTGCTCAAAATGAATACCCATGCGCACCACTTTCAACATATGCTGACAGACTCTCAGGTTGTCATATTAGAGAGGAAAACTAGAGACCGCAGCTTTACTGTACATTCGGAAGTCTTACCCTTTGAAAACAAAACCCAGTACTCAAATATCACTAGTAAACACAGATAATTACAAGTCTTCTACCAAAAATACACACTGCAAATTCTGAGAGAACAGTATCATAAGTGATAAAATTCACAATTTCCATGATCACCATGAATCATTACAAACTCATCTGTCAATCTAACTTAAGTAATGATAGGGCCAAGATTCATATACCATAATAGTAAAAATTAACAATCACAATGGATGATTAAATGAATTATGTTGCAAAGAATTTATATTTTAACAAACCACTGAGAGATACAAAACATTTCTGGTACATAAATGTAGAATTTACATATAATGTATATTTACTTTGTGAAATTTCAGTACACTAAAATGTATAGAACAGATGAGCAAGCAATGTGTACAGAGAAAGCACAGTGGCAAGGAGGGAAGGATACCAACATTAATTTTACTACAATGAAAAACTTCCTTTACTCTACTAACAACATAAAAAACACAACAAAATGGAACATGAACCTTTCATCACTTCCACAATGACTATTCAAATAATCTGTTATCCAGTAACATGTATGAGAGTCATTGTCTAATTGCAGTGCAGTGCATCCTCAGGCTGTCAGGGCATAGAGTTAACCTGTCAGGCAACAACTTGCACAAATTTCAGTCATTAGATAAACCACTACTGACCCCATTTTTAATGCTGCTTCCTGCATGGTTGTATGTGTGTAAGGGGTGGGCCATAAAATCCGGCCCTCACACTGCGACCTTCAGTGATCTCTTGTGCTTCCCCTTTGGATTAACCCTTTATTAATCCTACACTTCGAATGAAATATAGGACTTTATTTATGGGGGTGTCATAAAGGTCACTTGGTTCCATGAAGAACTGACCAGGTGGCGATATCTTAAACAAGCTATGGCCTCACAGTCACATAGGAAATGTGTGGCTGACTGATCTTCTTGTAGGCACCTTTCACAGGTTGGGTCATCTGTCAGTCCCAGTTTGGAAAGGTGTCCTTTTATGTGGCAGTGTCCACTAAGTAATCCTACCGCCCATCTTAACTGATTTGTTTAATTTGAACAGGTCCTTCATTCTTCTGGCAGAGGGTCCTAATATAAATCCCTTTGCTTCTTTGAGTCCAACTGTGGATTCTCAGTTTTCTACATGGATGCTCAATGCAAGAAGAAACATATTGAAGTATTTGTAATCATTCATCTATGAGTCTCTTCTGTCATTGTTTGGTACCATATTTTATTAAGAGTAAAAAATGTAAAGTTGTTCCTGTGCTTAACTAATTAAGAACTACACCATGAAGGCATACAGGGGAGTGGATGTATAAATTTACATTTTCTTGACCTCGGCACTAGTTGGAGGTGAGCAGTCAGCTTCACGCTCTGGACATTGTGCCCCTAAGGAAAGAGCCCTTGGTACCCATTGGACAGGAGGTTGGGTTGATCCCAGAGCCAGTCTGGACGACATGGAGGAGAGAAAATTCTTGACCCTACCAGGACTCAAAGACTGACTCCTCAGTCGTCCACACCGTAGCCAGTCACTACACTAACTATGCTATACTGGTTCCTACTGTATTAGCTGTACAGAACTAAAGCCTGCACAGAATAATCACAGGGAAACGAATTATGATGAGTTAAGAAACAAATATTGTTACAAAAGCTTAGTGAATAAAAGTCCATGATCTAAGACCAAAAAACGTTCTGCTTTTGGAATGAAATGGAGAGAATCACATCAACAATATGCACACAAATATATCTAATGGGTGAATCAGATTTCTGGCAACAAAGTTTGGGCGAAAAGACAACACCACATCACCAACCTGGCAATGTATCCTCCCTGGGGCCCCAGTCCGTTCCTGTCATCCATCACACGCTGAGGTTGATTGTTAACAACCTTACCATCATCATTCCCTTTCCATGTGCCCTCATCCTCCTTGAATGAGGCTGACCTAAACATAAAGCACTTGGTGCAGTATTGTTTTCCCACTATCTGAACTCACTGCAACAGAAAAAGTTTCAGTAACAGCTCTGCTGGGTTCATGTGTGTCTCATGGTGTCTTTTTTCTCCTGAAAAAAAATACAAAAACTTCATGCTGTTTCAGCATGTCAATTAGATTATACAGACTAAATGTTCTGTTTATAAATGACTGAACAAGAGTACTCCTATATATATAAATTGTAGAGTTTTAAAAATTTTGTTTAATGAAGTGTGTTAAGTGTTTAGAAATGAGACTTTGGAAAATAAGGTAAATGAAGTTTTTCAATGCATACTATTAACAGGACATATAATAAATAAATGGTAATTCAGTACTCGTAGATAAGTGACTTGCAGTTCTGCAGCAAATCAAATCACTGCACAGTGAGGGTTATTATATCTATGTAGCAGTTTAAAGTTGACTTCCTTTCTAAAGCGATGTTTGTATGAAACAAACCTAGCAGAATAGCCTGTGTGGCATGCTGAGAGTGACTTACTTGTTGCAAGGCAGTACACACAATCCGCAGCATTTTTCCATGCCAGTGAGGTTCTTTTCTGCTTCTCGCATGTCAGCATTGATTTGGTCCATCCCTTCTTCAATTCGGTCCAATTGCTCTGGGGACAGGCAATTGGCAATTTTGTTATCATGCCATCAGAATAAGATTCAACACACTTTCTGGCTGGACCTATTGTATGGCATTATAGTTCGAATTTTCAGTTGTTGGCACTATAATTCAAAACAAAACTACCTTATGCTACTGGCAAGTTACTGTACTTTCCATTAAAGGTTTACAGTGGAAGTGTAACATTAAGTAGAACAACTTGGTGGTGGTCTTATTTTGCACCTCCAGTTGATGTTCTCATGTTTCAAAGCAATAACCTGTTGACAGCAGAAGCTTCTCTGAACATGAATAACATCAAGTAAAAAAACTTGAAAACAATTTGCATTTATTGTGTAATAAGTTTATATATATGTTTCAGAAAGGAGGACAATTTTCCCTGCACTGAGATCTGATTAACAAGATGAAGAAGGTGGGTATCATGAATCACTATTTTATAATGAAACTGGAGGCAGCTAGCTCCCCTGAAACATTTCTACCCATCCATCAAAGTATGCAGTACAACATACCAAAAGACCATTACCTGGTTAGAATGCTGAATGAAGGTCATGATAGGAGAAATTGGGAACATCCTCAATGTACTGAAAATTATACTATCTCTCACCATTCATGATATGGATTTAATTCTTTTCATTTAATTGCAGGAAATTGCAAATTCTTATGAATACGTGGTTTTCTCTGTAGTAGTTCTGATGTTGGTTAACCGGACCAGGAGGTATCACCAATTTTATTCAATGTGGCCTCAATATAGGTGAGGATGCTACAGCAATAGATTAGGCTCCTCCTTTCATACAGTCACCGAGAATAACAACAACTTGAATTCATACGTCTGTTCAACTCTTAAGCCAAAGTTTTTTCATTAAAGTTCAAATTTAAAATTTTGTGCAGAGTTTTGACAGATGCTGAGATGTTGCTTTCAATATTCCTGCCCCAACATCACAGAAAGCAATGGAATCAGGAGCAAATCTTTATATTTTTGAGATGGACAGCTGGTGATTTAAAAGAACCCTATTTTTGGGAATTACTTAGGACCATCACCCAGTAACACATATACATCTTCATTTTCAGTCTTGATGTTTCCAAAAACTGTTCAACATAAACCATGTTTTAATACACAGCTTCACAAATCACTGTGCTGTTAACATAGCAGCTGGTTCATATATTATCAGACTGCTTTCTTCAATCATAATCTTTTCAGAAAAAACCTTATTATGACATTTCAGACAATGTACAAACAATTTTAATATATTTAAATATGATCCTGACCTCACATTCTAAAACAGTCTCACAGATCAATGTTCCATACTAGTTTTGAGCATCTTCAGAGCTGAAGAGTAAGCAAAGCAGGAAGCAAGAGACCTTGTTACTTTACTTCTTTTGGACTTCACCCATTGTCTGGTATGTAAAAGGCAAAAATACAAAAAACCACGACGTTTCGGAGACTGGATCTGTCTCCATCTTCAGGTAGATAGGGATAGCTAGCTCTTTCTAAGGGGCCCAACTGAGTAGGTTTATCCTTCCCTATCCACCTGAAGACGGAGACAGATCCAGTCTCCAAAACGTCGTGGTTTTTTGTCTTTTACATACCGACGATGGGTAAGTCCAAAATAAGCCAAAAGAAGTACAGTATACACCATCGTCAGAATGCTTTCAAGTCTACCTTGTTACTTGCTTCTTCAGCTTACTCTTTGACCCTAAAGTATGCACCTATAAAATGGTGGTAAANAACTTCTATCGGCATCATATCCCCCCCCCCAGCCCAAAAAACAGCATGCTTAACACTCATCACTGAGAGAACCTAATGGTAATAGAAGAGTTCTCACAGAAGGAGGTATGTGTAATGCCAACCTATTTATCATATTAATACTCAATCACTCCAGTAACGGTCTTGCCAACAGAAAAAATACAGGTACCTCAAAGTTATATATCCAAAGAAAGATATTTTATTGAGGAAAAACCAGTAGAAAGGGTTTGGAAAAACAGAAAGCAGGGAGCTTTGGTCAATGCATATGTTACCATAAAAGCCTAAATTTCAGAAAAATCTACGATTCATTAGTTGGACCTAGGCTTTGTAAACATTGTTGGTAAAGGCCTGAAAAAGCAACTATTCGCATCTTATTTCAGGGTTTTACCATTTGGTCTTGGTAAATGTTCGATTTACCATAAGCAGGTAGCAAAAGTCAGATACTTTGATCTGTCCTGAATGTGCATGCTGTGTTCAAGGCACCTCCAACTGTAGAAGCTGCCTTCAGTACATACGTTAGTGCAGTTTCACGAGGTTTTGCGTTGCATCATGCTGTTCTATTTTACTGATGTGTTAAGACCATTCTTTTAAATCTCACTGAAATTGATATCACATGAGTTACTGAGAGATGCTATAAAGTTTTTGGACAAGCATCAAGTTAAAAAAAGGAGACAAACATTTATGTTTAACTAAAGAAAAGCATGCTAAATGTTTAAGTGAATTGAAAGCTGCCAAAATTTTGTCCAATAATCAATGAATTAACTAGAGATAACTAAAATGTTTTGATGTGCAAGTTACTAAATTTATACCCTTCTCTGTATTTTGCCTTTATATTTTTGTACTCCATAATTTTTAAGCTTCCTTAACAGTAAAAAAGAATTTTCTTACCATCTTCTCATAGAATGTGAGATTTTACCAACAGTGAATGGTAAAACCCCGAAATAACACATGAACCATTGCTTTTTTTGGCTGTTACCAACATTGTTTTGCAAAGTAGCTAATGAAAAGTTTGGTCCAGTCACACTGGACTGAACTTTTCATTATTTACTCTGTAATTAATACTGTGACGGACCAAAATGAGACAAGTTAAATTTGTTTTGCAAATCCTAGCTTCAGCATAAACCCTAGATCTTACAAAAATCTGGGCTTTTAAGGTAACACAGAGACAAAGATAACAATGACGTTCCAATAGAAGGCAAAGTTTATGATTCCATACATGAAACATAATGGTGTCACATGCACATAGACATTTGAAGTAATATAGACATATTTTCAGTGCTATCCATACTATGTTGATATGTACTGCATGGTACCTGCATCTCATATGATAACCATCACAGTGAAGTCACTAAATTTGCTCCAATGATTCCCGTACAGAACTGACCACTATGCATTCACAATGTTAACCTGTATGGATGGTATTCAAATTTCCTGTGTTTTCAAAGTGTATATCACTGCATAATGCTCTGTTAAAGCTCTTCTTGTGCTCAACAGCCTCTTGAACCCACAATGCACTACATGACAATGTTATGTTTCCGGTATGAAACCATGCATTCACTTTCTGCTGGTTCATATCCTGCTTCCATCAACGGTTGGGATTTTCCCAATCTCCCCCCCCCCCCCACACACATTTTT